GAGATGAGGCTTCTACTTAAGACCCCATTCTTTCTGAAATTCCAGCCATCTTGAATAGCTCACAAACACCGCATGCTAAGAGGACTTAAATTTCTTTGCACTAATAGAAGCCTTAAAGTACTATTTACATTGCTTTCTAGGCTCATGCATCACCTCTGAAACACCTCTGAGGCATTAAACATTTAAATCCTTCCACTTGCAAAATAGGCAGCATTTCCTCTTCTCACAGAATATCACAGGCACCAGCCAAGACTTCTTACCATTTTCACTTTAATCTTGATGTTTATTAGAAGACCAGAATGGGGGTTTTCTTGCCCTTTGAAAGGTTTTTGATTTGTTACTTAACTAAACATGTTTGTACAGCTTTCTTCGTATCTACAAGTCCTTAATCCACAAGATGTCAGTTGACACAATAATTATATTAATAAATATAGACAGCCTAAGAAGAAAAGAAAGATGGAGAGGCATTTGGAATTAACATGCTGTGAATCAGTCCTGCATCATCCCTTGTCAGTGGCATTAGCAGGCCTTTCCCCTCCCCCCCCCCCCCCCTTGTTGCCTTTTGGTAATAATTTTCAGGGCATTTGACACATTTCATCTCACTCAATGCACTGAGCCCTAATACAAGAGAACACCAGTTTGTCAAACATACGTTAGTTGAGTATGCATATCAGTTAATCTTAAGCAGCCGACATTGTCAAAGACAGCCACACTGTCAAGTGCTAAAAACATGCCAGGCAAGGAAGAAAGGCAGGACATGCAAGAGCACAAGCTTGGCTGCTGAGATACCAGCACCACCCAAGGCCAGAGCCCCCAAATTCCTGTCTCTCAAATCCCCCCAACCCAAAAGTTTCCCACACCGGTTTTAAAGCACACGTTTCTGCTGATGTTGACAAGAGGAGCTGCAAACCTCAAAAGATTAGTCACCTACCTAGCACAGGATCCAGCATTAGGTATTTTAACAGCAAAATGAGAGCAAGACTCTGAAGATTTGCTAGTTGCCTGTTACTTCCACAGAAGCCTCTGCAAATATTTTGTTGCCCAATGCATTTGAAAGGTTTTTGATTTGTTACTTAACTAAACATGTTTGTACAGCTTTCTTCGTATCTACAAGTCCTTAATCCACAAGATGTCAGTTGACACAATAATTATATTAATAAATATAGACAGCCTAAGAAGAAAAGAAAGATGGAGAGGCATTTGGAATTAACATGCTGTGAATCAGTCCTGCATCATCCCTTGTCAGTGGCATTAGCAGGCCTTTCCCCTCCCCCCCGGGCATTTGACACATTTCATCTCACTCAATGCACTGAGCCCTAATACAAGAGAACACCAGTTTGTCAAACATACGTTAGTTGAGTATGCATATCAGTTAATCTTAAGCAGCCGACATTGTCAAAGACAGCCACACTGTCAAGTGCTAAAAACATGCCAGGCAAGGAAGAAAGGCAGGACATGCAAGAGCACAAGCTTGGCTGCTGAGATACCAGCACCACCCAAGGCCAGAGCCCCCAAATTCCTGTCTCTCAAATCCCCCCAACCCAAAAGTTTCCCACACCGGTTTTAAAGCACACGTTTCTGCTGATGTTGACAAGAGGAGCTGCAAACCTCAAAAGATTAGTCACCTACCTAGCACAGGATCCAGCATTAGGTATTTTAACAGCAAAATGAGAGCAAGACTCTGAAGATTTGCTAGTTGCCTGTTACTTCCACAGAAGCCTCTGCAAATATTTTGTTGCCCAATGCAGAGCAAATTATTAAGTCTTTGCAGATCTAGGGCCAGTATTTGCAATTCAGGATACCCACATTGTTTTGCTGCTACAGACATTACAGAATGAAGTCCTAAAAAGTTTTTTTAAACAAACAAAACCAAACCAATTAAAAAAAAAATTGTTACAGTAGCAGAACTTCTAGGAGTACCATTACATTTTAGTGTTTCTTGCCACTATTTTTCACAATTTAAAATGCTAAATGCACTCAGCCTTCAACAGGAGGGCCACCATTAAAAAATATTTAATAGGAACTTGCTATTGAATTATTTAATTTTTTTTTTTAAAGGTTAAAATAAAACCTCCTTTCTCCATTTTGGTTTACTTAACATACTAAGACTAATTAGGATCTAGTGACTTCTAAAGTTCCCTGTGTATGATTTGCTTTTTCACATTCAACAAACCTAACTTATTTTTTTCTTTCCTAACCTGGCTTTTTATAAAAACAAACTGCTGAAAAATACAGATAAAGATTCAAATGCAGAACAACTCCTTGAATTATGTAACTGGTTTCTTGCAGAGAAAGGGCTTCACCTTCCTATCCTTACTATTAATTTCTGCCATCTCATAAGACAGGAAACATCTGCTGAGAAGACTTTAAAAAAGAAAAATATCTAAGATCATTCCCCAGGTACTTTGTTTACTGCAAACAATTCAAGAATTCAGTGGCAATATTGCTTGCTCTTTAATGAGAGCCTATTTTATTTACTTGGAACAATTCCAGAAATTAGTAGTAAAAGATCCTTCTCCTATTTACAATTTCAAGGTAGAACCACACCTGCCATTTCACCAGTGAAAATGCTTCTCAGAAGGAATTTACCCATGTTGGAGCCAAAAAAGAAACAGAGAAAATACTGCTAGGGAAAATATTCTGTCCTGGTGCATCTACAAAAAATGCTTTGCATCTGTAGGACTGCAGGGAGTGGCTCACTTTCTCTTCAAGAAAGGCTAAGATTTTATTTGGGATTTACAACATGGTAATGCAAATCCTCCAAAGAGGAGGCAGTAAACAGGCACCAGTAGGAGAGCACAGAACAAAAAACCCAACCAAATGTTTTGATGGCAACACCTCTTAGTCTGCAGTACAAGATCTCAAAAAGTTAGGTTAGAAGAAAAATATTCTGACATATAGGAGGAAATTCAGAATAAACTGTCTACGGATTCAATAACCAGCAACATTCATTCAGAAAACTTCTCTGTTTAAGCAGCCAGGGTTGTCAAAGAGTTGCTTTGTTTCTCACATAGGCAGCCTACTCTGTTCTACAACTCTTCATAGTTCTTTGGAAAACTTTTCTTTTAAAGGGAAGTAGTTCTAGATCAAATTAATTTGTCTTCAAACAATATACAAAAGAAGCAGCACCCTTTCTACTTGATCCATGATATAATTTATCTGTTGCACTGGAGACATGTAGGTTACAAAAAGAGACAGAAGCATTAAGAATAGAACCCAAGAAACATTTATTATTCCTATTGTCCATCTCAAATAGCAGTTTGTACTCAAAAAATAGGTTAAAAAAATAATTGCTGTCTCTATAAAAGAGAATACAAAAATCTTCATCATGAAGTAGGTCAAGTTTGGAAAAGGGATAACCGAAGATGGTTTATACAGCCCAACCTTAACTTCATCCTAAGAAACCACCCTCCCAACAGGCCCTGGTAGGACTTTTTATTAAAGAAAAGCAAAAAAAAGAATAGCAGATTTGGGTGGGTGGGTTGAAAGAGGGTGCAGGTCTTTAGTAGAAAACAGGACCCCTTGTTCCTAATTCTACACCTAGGCAGTATCCTAAGACTTTAAAGAAAGAGGAGGCTCTCACCTTTTGGAACTACTGTGGGTGTTGGTGATGTAATTAAGAAAAACAAATAATGGCAGCTCTACAAATGAACTCTTCCAAGTACTTCACACAGAGTAGAACAACGACAAGACATGTAATGCCTGACTCAACAGAAAACCTCCGTTTCACTTGAATGAGTTTTTTTACTGGAGAGATGGAAGAGGAGAATTCAGGTACACTTTAATCAGGCCTGCCTCAAGTAGATTACTTCAGAGAGAAAGAAACCATCTTGAGCAAGCAGCATACATGTGAATTAGCCAAAACTGTAAGGAAGACCTCAAAAGTTTTTTTTTTCTCTTTTGAAATGCAGTCAGCATCTCCCTGTGGGGCTGATGAACATACAAAGTTACTAGAACTAAAATAACATAATTAGCTTGACTTTCTTTAATACCCAGTAAGGTCATTGTCAATCTGACCAATGCTTTATATAAAACTTCCTCCAAAGGTTGTGCCTAGGAGTCTAGATTTTGCCTGTGACTTTTTTTTCCCCTCTCCTTGCACAATTGCATAATTAGATTTTTCAAAAATATAAACAAAACCTTTCACCCCTCCCATACAGCCAGCTGTGTCAGCTTTAGAACATACATTCTCTTTGCAAACATGCCTGTATCTTGTGATGGATACTCTTGACAAGTGCTGACACTGCTACATAAGCCCAGTGCTTGGCTACTAGATTTTGTAACAGTGCCAGGAGAAAAAAAAAATTCTAATTCTCTTCCTCCGACGCCCAGTGAAAGATAAGGAATTTGAAATCAAGACATTAAACAAACCAAAAAAATAAAAATCAAGAAATAGCCACAATTAAAAGGAATATTTAATACTCCAGAAGAGAGCTTTGGATGTAGCATTTAATTCATCCCCTAATATCAGGACCCACAATACGGAAAACATCTGCTTCTTCTCCTTCTATCTATACAGTCCCTTAAGAGTCCAAGCTTCAAAACTTTCACATAAAATATCATTATATATTTGGAGTAGATAAACTGAACCAGCAAGGCCATCAATCAATTTTCAATTACTCTTGGCAACTAGATAAGATGATAGTGCAGACACTAATAACTGACAATAGTCACCTAATGAACAGATTCATGCCTTATGGTAGTCAGAAGTCTCTAGGGTACATAATTAATAATAGCCATTTACAATCAAATATTTATTTCCTCTTCTGTCTTTTCAAAGAAAGCTTATTATTGGTAAACTGAGATATGCTCACCACAAAACCATCTGGTGTAACTTCTTTTTGCAAGGACCATACACTGCTCTTACAGCATGGGAAGGGAGTTCATTAAACACATTAGTAAAAATACAGGTGTAGCAAGAGCATTAACTTATTTATTGCTTAGCACATCACAGCATTTTTACATCTCAGTAGATGTTTTCTGAATAATGTCATACTTACAACATCAAATTTCTGTGTGATGTTCCCTTGGACATCCAGTAAATAAACTTTGCCATAATGCGTTCCCAGTGCCAAAAACTGTAAAAGAAAGACTGATTACATAAACAAAAAAGACACTGCAACCAAAACTTCAGCAATGCTAAATGAACTCCCAGATGTTTAGCAGATTCATGATTAGCAGCACCCAGAAAGAAAAAAACAAATGACAAAGAAACAACACACCCCTATAGACAAAGCTTATTTTAACTGCACCTAAAGAATGAAACAGGGCTTCAAGCCCCTATTCCTGTGATAGTGTAAGTTAGCTGTCAGAATGAGTCATGAGGACCCTCATCTACTGACAACTAATGGTGTGTCCACAGTCCGTACACACTGCCCGATGGACTGTGTCAGCAAATTAAAAATGCAGCGTGAAAGAAGCCACCATCACAGACCTGCAATGCTACCTGGATCCTTTCTGAAGCTTTGTTTCAATCATCATTGTGTCCTTTGGGCTTTATTTTTAACTCTCCTTTATCATTAACGTAAAACCAAAACATTCAAACATAGCAAAAGGCCATCACTAAGCCACTGGTAAAATACTGCTGAATTATGGAAGGTCTCTGATGTGCATTTAAGCACAGAGATAACCATTGGGTCTGCTTTCCTTCACCAAGTAACACTCCCACATTGAACCCTCTCAAGACACATACATTTTTCCTTGGAAATCTCAGGAGTTTTGTTCTAAAAAATAGTAGCAAAATAAGGAAACTGTCACATAAATGCATGCTGTCACAATCTTATTTTGATACAAACAAGAAGGGAATCAATTCTTAGAGATCTACTGTTAATTGAACCATATGAACTGTACCTAAACAGAAAAGGAAGAACTTTGGTACTACTTGATTTATGACAGAGTTTTCTGTTATTCCCCCCTCCTTTCAGCATTACTAAATAGTCTAGGCTCCACATTTCTCTGTATTTCACTGCATGTGAGCATGCTTCATTGCAACCTATAATGAAATGCTCAAATTTACAGGCACTGCTAAGCGTGTCAGTCAGGCAGCACAATCTTTAAAAAATAACCTTACAGAAAGTCAAGGTTTAAAAGGATTTATCAAAATGGAATTGCTTAAAATGAAATTTCAGTTCAGGCACTTAAAATATGAAGCTACATTAAAAGGAGTCAAAAAAGGGAAAGAAGGGTTCATTAGAAATTCATCCCCTGCAATGCCTTTCACTCCTGCAAGGTTGCCTTTTTTCAGGAAGAAAAAAGTCCCCCGGGTAAAAAAATCAATACTGGTTAATAAAACATCAGGTGTGCAGACATAACTAGGTATGACTATTCCACTGCACAGGCCTGCTTGAATGCACCAGGTGCCATGACGATTAGTCATCCAGTGCAGACAGCAAGCCTGGTGAAAATATGATGCTTTAGCAGTGAAAAGAAAAAAAAATAATTATGGGGGGAAAATACCCTGAATAAAGAAGCCAGATTTTCAGGATTCCCTGCAAAGTTAAAATGCTTTAATCAGAGGCATATTTTACATAACACTGTGTAATTTTGCTAATGATGACTCTTAGAGTGGGGTTTTCCCTACTTTGCAGGGAAAAAGAAAACCCAAACAAAAACAGAACAAACCAGAAAACATCCTTGCAAAACCTATAACCCAGCTTTATTTTTAAGCTCTCTAAGAGACTTATTCCTAAAAGACTCCTGTATCTGGCTTCTAACAATATTGATCCTTCTCATAAATAGTGTATCTAGTCTGCCGGAAAACTAAAAGTGCTGGGATGCTTAAACAGCTTCCCTGTATTGTCACTCTTTGTGACACTACAGCTAAAGCTGTATCTGTGCACATCCTTATAGAAAAATCCTGTTCATCTCTTGGTTTTAAAAATTTACCTGAGACTCAGGAAAAAAAGGTAAAACAAACCGGCCACAGACCAGGACAAAAGGCTTGCCAATTTTTCAAATATCTATGTAATTCTAAGTTGTCAGAAACATTTTAAAAAGACTTATTGTTTTCATTCACACAGTTAGAATACAAGCTTCATCTTAAGAGCCTCTTGAGCCATGGCAACAGTCCTTTGAGTAAAAGAAACACAGCACAAGTCAATTTAAAAATATAGTGAAATAATAGAGATAAATCCCTCAGCAATAACTGTTAAGGACCTACTACTGGCTGTGAAAAATTACACATTCAGAAAACAGCTATCACGTCTTACATACTAATAGTTACTTGACAAATCATTAACTAATACTTTCAGGTGCTTTTCAGCATTCCTCAATATTTTAAAATGGTCTTCAGTATTTACAAAAGAAAAGAAAACTCCAAAAATAAAAAAGGAATTGTTTAAAATACAAAAGAAACATAGGAAGCTTCTTCCTTGTAAAAACACAGTAAGGATTCTTTGTAAAAATTCTTTACTTTGCATTGTCCATTATTTTCTCCCTTTCACTCTCCTGTAGGTCTTAAACCTTACCACTGTTAAAGCATGTGCATTTTTCTTGTTTTAAACACAGTAATTCAGGGAATAAGCATGACACCCCCTCAAAAAAACTCAATCAAACAAAAATGAAATATTTTAATTACTTTCTTCTATACTGTATAAGAGAAACTCAGCTGTCTTCCACAGTTGAATGTATTTCTAAGGTGGCCCCTAGCATGATCAAGTCTTTCTGCAGTGACTCGGGCTTTAAACTAAGCAAAACATATACACATATTTCCTTTTTCAATAGAGGAAAGTTGAACCGTATGCCAATTCTAGTTCATAATACTGTCCATAATTGAAATCAAGTGACCATTTTCCTTACAGCTTACATAAACATCCTATCTAACAAATCAATGCCCCTCGAATTCTCACTTTATTTTCTCACTGAGAAAGTATGTGCTGTTCAACATAAGTTTAACAGTAATTTTGTTTATATTAGTGTTGACTCGCACTGCACCTCTAGATTTGGGAGCACTTCTACACAGAAATATGCATTATAAGCACAGATAAATACATAAAACCAAGCAGAAGTTCTATCTCTGCCACAAAGTCACATAATACCTTTTCATGTACTGTCATGCAGCTGGCTGCATCCTTCTGGAGAATTTCAGTCACTCCATTAGAAAGCCGTTCATACTTCAGCTTGGGTTCTTCTTCACTCTCATCTTCCTAAATTTTTAAGAATGCAAGGAAAAGAGAGACAAAGAAATTTAGAAGCCTTTTAAAAAATAAAAACAAATTATAAGATATCCCAAAACTATGACACAGCAACAGGTGAAGATGGATCACTGCTATTTCTTAACAACAGCCATTACAAACAAAAGCCAAACTTCCACATTTTTATCATTGGAGATGGCTTGGGTGGTGGTTTTTTGTTATTGTTTATCTTTTTACTGCAAAAAAAGATACGGGAACAAACAAGGACTGCATAGCAGCATATCAACTCAGCTGTAAGTGGTACTTGGTTGATACAAAAAAAACAAGAAAAAATGTACATGTGTACTTCATTACATAAAGTTAAGTCATTCCCAATTTAGAAGAAAAATATAAAAGAGATGGATATGGAAAAATGAATGTTGATAATACAAAGCGTGTCACTGTAGCCACAATTAACTCTAAGCCGAAGCATGGAGGTTACAAGAAACTTCCAAGACATTTACAAGGTGCTGAACCTCTGTAAGAAGGAGAGAGGCAAAATGCTATAAAAAAAAATTAAGAAAACAAACAAACAACACACTAGGAATAAGTTAATTGTATAAAATGCACCAATGGGTTTATGTTTAAAAATAGTAAGAGTATAAATACATTCTTGCAAAACTGTATGGGAAAAGGGTCTGGACACAGCATACACCTATATCACCTGCAGGAACACTTCCAGGCATATACTAAAGCTTTCCTCTCTTTTTCTTTTCAAGCATGTCAGGTATTATCACCCAAACACTACACAGATGCAAAAAAAGATGATGCATCAAGTGGCACAAAGTGAAGAGAGACGGAGCTAAAGAACACATGCAGGAAATTTCACTGATCAAAAAACATCCAACACGCTCATCTCTAAGGAAAAAAAAATCCAAGGTGCAAAATAGCGCTTTGGTCACAGGCATCTATCTAACAGATGGTCTACTGAAGTCCAATGCCAGAGAGATTTTCATAAGCTTCAGTAAACCTCAGTTAGTACTATACATGCATAGACATACACAAACCCATATATATCCCTTGGTCCTCACTGGGAAACAGTGTGCCTGCCATGTCTCCTGCACTCACTTATTAGATCTAATGAACACATCAGCGTTGAGCGTGTTTCCCACATAAAAACACCAGTGCAGTGCTCTAGTAAAGGAGCACCTTTACTTTCCACCAACTACTGCTTTCCAATCCCTACAAAGAAAATAAAAACACAGTGTCAGCCTATGGCAGAAGAACAATATTTGAGCAACATTTCCTTGCAGCTAATGGTGTGAAAAATTTGGAAAAGAGACATATTATGTTTGAAGTACTTTAAAGTCAGTCTTTCCCAAGTTAAATATTACAGCCATTTACCATGAAGGCTACCATCACACAGGGTAATACATGCGTTTCCTCATAGAAAACACATAAAAGGCATAGGAGCCTATGGAAGTGTTCGATATTAAGCCTCATGCTTCTAGAAATACACTGCAAAGAGAGGCCCTTTAAAAATATTAGGGAGTTTTATGACAGAATACAAATGAGATTAATATAGGGATGTCAGCAGCCCATGACGTAGCAGTCTGAAGTGAGGTGTCAAAATGTCCACCAAGAAACAATTTTAATCAGTAAATCTAACACTGAACAAAGTTGTTACTAGACAGAATGACAATGTCAAATTACAGGGCTGTATATATATCAGCCAAATTCCTTGTGCCTACAGATCCTTAATAAATGACTACACAGCAGAGAGAGGAGGTAAAGTCAAAGAAAAAAGCATACATGTGATGGAAGGAGGGAATCAGGAAGCACACATCCATTTTCAAGCAATTAATATGTTTCTGCATTTTACACATTGCTTGCAAAGATTACACTTGAAATGCATGGGTAATCATTGAATACATTCATAAAACTAAAAATTGAACTCCAGTCATCAAGTTTTCATAAGATCCCACATGTTGCTGGAGTCTGGACATCAAATGTGCAACCAACGTGAAAAGTTAATTCTAGTCTCTTCAGCAGTTTGCATAAAAGCATTCATCCATGGACCATTAGATAAAGTTCCTGTAAATAAGTTTTGCCTGTCTTATGAGTGAAAACTAAGTAATTTTTCTGCACACCCATATACAAAAAACATATACTTTCAAAATTCAGTGCACTGGAGCATTGTGCCAGGCTTCCAAAAAAGTGAATGAAACAAACACTTAAAATATTAGGCTCAATGGTTGTACCCATTTCACACTTTCTCAACAGGTAACTTTTATGTTAAGTACAAGTCAAACCAAAAGGTGAACTGAAATAGGGTGGGGGCCCCTCACTGTAAACAAAAGGAAATTAAAAAGGTGATTTGCAAAAATGCAAGATTTCTCCCCTGCTTTAAACTCTATCCAATATATTAAATGCATCTGATGATCTCTTAATCAGACTTTAATAATTTCAAAGGTATTCTTTCATCAATAAAACTTTTATGCAGCCTGAACTTCTAAAGTAAATAAAAGCTGGTGTTAATAAAAAGCAAATCAATATTTTTTGTTAAATTTTAATAATCCTGAAAACCTACAAATAAAACCATCAGCAGTCTGAGTTGAGATGACAGTCAGCTGTGTTTCTATGGCAACCCAGAGGAACAGCACAAGTCCTGACTCGCAGTAAAGCTAAGATATAAACAGTGACATTTACCCCATACAAGAAAACTCACAGCTTTCCTTTTTCAAAGAAGAAAAAAAAAAAAAAAGAAAAATCAATATCTCAACGAACATGGATTTTTACTAAGTGTATGGCACTTTTAATTAAGAGAAGTCCTTTAAAGCATCCTAGAGGATTCTAAACATTTATAAAATAAATTTTATAGCACTGCTTCTTGTACCACCGCTTAACAGTTTTGTACTTTATGCCTAAAAAAACCCCTTAACAAAACAATCCTTACAACACTCAATTCTGAAATTTTTGTCCAATGTATTAAGATAAAAAGAAATATATACTGAACAAAGTGCATGAAGTGCTCCACACATGACAGTCTTAAATTCTGAAAGGGAAGGAGACTCACAGAGCTGACAGGAGGAAGCAACCTTTTGTGGTATTGAAAAATAAATAATAGTAATTTTTCAACCACAGAGATGCTAATTTGAAACTCATATTACATTTAGTTTTCCATTTGCCTTTTTACTGCTGGAACTAGCAGTCAAATTGCTAAAAATACACTGTGAAGAACCTGCAACGAACATTTCCAAATGAATAAAATACTCTAAATTAACTGTAAGACTAATACAATTCCCTTCCTACTAAGTCCTCTTCCATTTGTCAACACCGAACTGAATTTAAAACACATTCCTCTTCCCACACCGAAGACCTTGTTGGTCTGAAGCTCACTACCAACTCATCTTCTGGCACAGGCTTACAAAACTGAGGCCAGCTGCAAAATGTGAAACAAGCTATCAAAAGGCCAGTGCCACTGCAAGGGATCTCATCTGCTTTTCTGAATGCAGGTTCACAACCTTCTTCAGGTATTCTGCCCCATCCTTCCCAGCTTTGCCAACAGGAACAACTGCAGTGAAATCATAAGAAGAACAAAAAATCTGAAATGGGTCCTTGCAAAGAAAATTTCCAGAAGGAACCTGTGGGCAGTTCCCAGAGTTATTCCATTAGCCCACATTTGCTCCTGCAGCAGAGGATCTGCCCACAGGACAGTCTGTCACATGAACTACATGCTCTACTGATTGTGGATACTCTAATTACGTTACAGACGCTGACACCAAAGTGTCATCCTTCCCACATGATTTGCCCTCGAAGTTTTTTCAAAGCCTTTATGGAAATAAACGGTGCATACATTATAAGGCATGTGCCCTTCCTCTTTGCTGCACATCTTCCATCCAGTTCCAGCTAGAATTCCAATTACTACAGCTGGCCATTCCAGCATTGTTTACACTTGCAAATTTTGACTCTGCAAAGCATTTAAACTCAAATAGAGAGAGGTATCTGAGGTCCATCACACAAGCCATTTCAAAGGAGCTGCAACAAGGCCCTGATGTTGTTTGCTTTACTAAAAGGATGTCTTGGAAAAAACAAACAAAGAAACAAAACCCACAACCCTACAGGTCACTGTATTTTTGTCATGCTTTCTTTCAAGTTAATGTCAATTTCAGAGACACAAGAAAAATGTTCATTTCGCTCACTTCCTCCTACCATGAAGTCCATTAACATTGTTCTTCCTCCACATATTTGAATAGCTAGTTAGTGTTCAGGACATAATCTACAATCTCATTTAAAAAATTTGTGGCCAAAGTGAAAATCAATATTGCTATTAAGAAGTGAGAGGAGGCTACTTAGCAATTTGTGAGAGTAACTTTTCTTGACACTTAATATAGGCCAGATCTTTGGTAACCCTCAAACCTACTAAGAAACGAGCATTTTTACTTATTTAAACAGTCATCATTCTTATGCAGAACAAAAAAATTATTTAGAGTTCCAGAATTATTAGTTTATAAACTATGGGAAAATCTTAAGTAGAATCAAAGAATTAACTCAATATATTTTTGGGTTAAAATAAAAGTTTGCAGAACAACCCCAATTATGAAAAAAACCCCAAACTAACAACAAACACACCCTCAGTGCTTTGCTGAGGGCAACCTTACTTCTCACAGAAATTCTATAAAAAATAAACATAAAAAGACTTCAAGTCCCAGAATACAGTCTCCATGGAGAATTACTTACTCTTCTTCTATACATACAGAAGTACAAAGTACAGCAAAATAGCCAGAGGAACTCAGTTACCAAAATCATCTATTACCTTTTTGGTCAAATCAAGACTGTTCCACAAATATTTTGGTTTGATCCTCCAACTTACATCCTAAAGGTTTTAATCCAGTATAAGTAACTCCCTCACACACACTCTGGTAGAATTAATCATTATTTCAACAGCAATAATCCAGGGGTGAAAGGGTATCAAGCCATGCGAAACAACAAGAAAATAAAACACTTGGCAAAAGGATCCTACAACTGGCCCA